TGCGTTTAATTTTGGGCTAATGGTATGAACATTATTGAACAAAGTCAAAAAAATGTTTTGAAACAAGTGGATGAGTATGGGAAAGGAAAATAATAATGGGGTTGATAATAGGGGCTGGTCCATTTCCCTCTATCTAAATTTGTATCTTATCCCCACCTTGTTTTCTTTGTCAACTGTCCTTTCTTGTTTCTTGTATAGTAGTACTCCTTAAGCATGTATTTTCTCTATCATCTTTTGTATATTTAATAATCAATAATTATTGTCGATCAGTGAACACAAAACAGTCTCTAGTAACGTAGATTTTCTTTGTATCCTAGATTGTATTGTTTCGTATACAGACTATAGTGCTTTGTAAACTAACCCTAAAAGTTTGAAACTGTTTTCATACAAAGTATATGTCTATATACATTTTCATCGAATAATTTCACAATGATATAGCTTATAGAGAAATTTGAAATCATCACGGAACTAAAGAGGACGTTGGATTTCAGCGAATGTTGATTGATTTACGACTACGATGAAGTGGATTGGTTTCTAGAGTTGTTTATATACATTATTCTGAAAACGAAGCTTATAAATAATAGAAGTACTAAATTAATAAAGCAAAAGAAAAGAGATAAAATTAGGATAAGGGTTCTAGAAGGACATTTTGATATTTTCCTTTTTGGGGAGTTGTCATCTTTATGGAGAAGAAACGAGTGGGCCAAACTGGCAAGCACTTATCGCTTAGACGTCTTGCTTTTGTCTTTTTTACGGTTGCTAAAGTTTCTCTCTTTATTTTCTTCTAGAAGACCATATTATACTACTATGTCAAAACTATTCACTTTAGTGTAAATTAAATTCTAAAGTCGAATAATTTAGTACATAGGGCTAGACCATGTGATTTAACTTTTTCCGGTTTAGATTTTCAAAACCGTTTTGATTGAATTATTTCTATTGACAAAAAAAATTGATCAAAGGTTTACCAAAATGAATGGACATCATTTGAGATTACTATATGTATACGTGATTGTTGATTTAAATCATAACTCAAATTCAACACAACTCTAAAGATAAAGTATGGTTTACGATGAAATTTTTTCGGCATAATCAAGCAAGAATTGGAATGGATTTACAAAATGTCTTATATCTAAATAGAGGAGAAGCCTATGTGAGCAATGGACTCATACTTTTTTGCAATTCAATAGCTATTCAAATTGCTTAGAAATGTGTTCTTTGAAGGATGAGCCAAGACAATATTGAACTTATAATAAAATTGAATTTTGGGTCGAGCAGCTGGTAGCTTAGTGGGTATCCAAAGCCCATTTATGACTCCACAAAGCCCACATAAAGTAAGCTTGGTTACGAATTAAACCCTAAACCCATTTTTGTCTTCCTTTTGTTCACTCTTCCTCTTCTCTTTGCGCCGCGAAAGCTAATCTCTCTCTCTCTCTCAGACTTCCCCTTCATCGATCTCAAGTAAGCTTCTTCGATCTTCCTCGTTTAGTTTCGTTTCTCAACGAAAGAGTCTTCTTTTGATTCATTATCAGTGTGTTCTGTTTTCACTTGTTTGTTCCTTTTTTCTGTGTTTTGTATCCATCTAAGAGAGATCCGATAAACCCTAATCGTTCCAGTTCTGTTGGTAGATTAGTCGTGGAAATAATCTAACCTAGCTATGGAATCGGTGACCTAAAACCCTAATTTCGTCTTGTTGATTCCTCTTTATTCATTATTGCTGCTTGGTTTTGGTTCATTTCGTAGATTCGTGAGTTGATCAGTGAGTTGTATATTTTGCTTTATGTTGTGTAGGAGAAATGGCTGAATCCAAGGTAGTGGTTCCAGAGTCTCATCTGAAGAAGATCAAGAGGGAAGAAGAATGGGCATTGGTGAAGAAACAAGAAGCTGATGCTGCTAAGAAGAAGAGCGTTGTGACCAGGAAGCTTATCTTCAAGAGAGCTGAGCAGTATTCCAAAGAATACGCAGAGAAGGTAAATCGTTTTACTAAGTACGATGAGTCGATGACTGTTGTGGTGATGGTTTTACTAATGATGTATACCTTTGTTTAGGATAACGAGTTGATCCGATTGAAGCGCGAAGCTAAGTTGAAAGGAGGGTTCTATGTTGATCCTGAGGCAAAGCTGCTCTTTATCATTCGTATCCGTGGGTATGTGTTTCTTTTTTGCTGTGTGTTATATAAGTCGATGCAGACATGTTTACAAACATGGGTGTTTGTCATTTGCAGTATCAACGCCATTGACCCGAAAACCAAGAAAATTCTGCAGCTTCTGCGTTTGAGACAGGTGAGTCTGAAGTTTTTTACTTTCATATTGTACCGGAAATTATTTTAGCTTAGCAAGTTATATATGATTATTGAGAACTATATGTATCATATATGGCTCATAGCTTTAGATTTATCATTTAAGCGAGAGCAGAAGGACTATTATGTTATCAGAAAGTTAACTTGTGGTATAAATTTGTGCAGATCTTCAATGGTGTGTTTCTTAAGGTGAACAAGGCAACAATTAACATGTTGCGTCGTGTTGAACCTTACGTGACTTACGGGTATCTCTTCTAATTCCCTCTCTTTTC